AGGGGCACTGGCGATTGCTGTCTTGGCTCTGCTCTCCTGTGTTCATCAGGGACCCTTGTGAGAACGAGTTTGCCACAATTAAAACACTTGTAACCAGCCCCAATCCTACAATCCTAGTGGCCAGCCTCACTCCCAGACCTTCCTCAGGGGCCCGACAACAAGCCCATCCGCCCATCCCGAAGGCCTTGAGCCCATGTCCAGTGTGAATCCTCGCAATTCCATCTCTTCAACCTCGATCACTGTGTTGTGGCACATGTCGAGCCCTTGCGCATGAAGAGTCGCACTAGTGCTTGGCGACCTGAACTTTGTGGCGTGAGAGAGTTTGCATCGCGGCACTTTCAGACCCCATAGGTCGCATCAGTAAAATCATCCAGAGGGTCTTCAGATCCCGATTCTTGGGTCTTCGAATGCCCTATGAATTCATTCTTGAGCTCCTCTGAATTCACCAGTCCCATTCATGTCCGTTTTGCCCCGGCTCCTGAACCAGATGCGCCTTGCGACCAGCGCTCAATGTCCTTACTTTCTGGCATGTTGCCCCGTTGTCCAATAGTCCCTTAAAGGTTCAACGAGCAAATCCATTAAATACATCGCCCATGCATCAGAATGCTGCTTGGACTTGGGAAGCATTTGGATCCAAGGCCTTCCAAACATTCTAAAGCACAATGCGTCGGTTCTCAAGCGACCTCGCAGCTTCACTCCCCTTCACCACACCCGCCTCGACCCTATTGGTCACCGCTCTGGATGCGCCGAGGCAGTTTCGATGTAAATGCCACAGATCTTATCATGAATTGCCCTGCATAGCCCAGTGCCATTTGAGGCGCCAGCAGAACAAGTGCGAAAACTAATTTCTTCTACATCCCTGCAACTTAAGCTGTTTAAATTTTAGGCACAAAGCCGGGGAAACATGTCTCCTGTTGGTCAAATTGGCTTCAGAACCTCTTAAAGCCCCTTCTGCTCCAAAGACCCTGCAAGCCTTAGGCCTCTGAGGCCTCTAAGTCTTCAGTCCCTTCATCCAAAGATTTCTCCAATCCAAACGACAATCAAGCCTCAAGTTTTGACGCCGAAAGTCTTCAGCAACACGGTGTCCGGTATAAAGTTAGCGCACTTGTGGGGTTTGTTCTCCGTCGCTATTCCTCCAAAGACCCTTCAGATCTAAAAGTGCTTAGATCCGCTTGAAGGAGGAACCCATGATTCCCTGATAGAACGAGAGATTCGATGTAAGTTGCTCCAATACGGCTGCCCTGCATCGCAGAGGCATTGATACAGCCTACTGAAACTGACGGGGTATGCACGAAGCACAGTGACGGTGAAGAGTGAATCCAGTTGGTTTCTCATAAAGCTTCTAAAAACATCAACACGTCCACAGAGAATTGTCAAATCGCCCGACTTTCGATGAGCGCTAGTGAAACTGGCACTGGCACTGGCACAGTTGCTGGAACTACTTAGCTTCAAGGAAGCAAGCCGCGTGGGCTCGCAATGTTGTTCATGGCGTAATCAATACGCAATACAAAAAGTGAGAAACCTTCCAACACGCAATAAAACGGGACAACATGACTCGGACTCACCTGAGTTTTGGTGATAGGTAGGAAGAGATTGGTCAATGCGACAATATGGTGGGACCCTTCTTCTGTGCAAGATAGAAATGTTAAGAAACACTTCAGTAGTAGTAGTAGTAGTAGTTGTTGTTGTTGTTGTTGTTGTTATTGTTGTTGTTGTTGTTTGCGCGGTGCTTCTTTGAGGACTCCATGTTCTGCAGATTTCATGATGGTTGATTTTCGGTAGATAGAAGTCCAAAGGTTTGGCGGACTTTGGCCGTTGGATTGGCTCGGTGCCCCCGACCTCTCCTTGCAGGACCTACAGAACAACCATGGCACTCGGCCTAGCCTTGGAAGGTTATTCCAATACCAGCCTGCGGTTGAAATGCAGTGAGTGTGAGAGAGGAGCTCCTTTTTGGATGCTTTTGCGTGCTTGTGCCGTCAGAACCCCTTTGCATTTCTCTCCTGAAGAGAGGCCACGTCGCTGCAAACTGAGGCTGCACACGCCTCCATACACCCACCCCAACCTGACCTGGACTGTTTGGACTGCTTGTTCGTCACCTCCGTGAAGTTGCCTGACGCCCCGAGGCAACACGGCTTTGGAGGGTGCAGCTGCGTATGGGCACCAGGCCTGTGTGGAGGTGCTCCTCCAGGCCAACACGGCTGTTGACTTGGTGGATGCAGACGGCCCGGGGGCCTGAAGAGGGTAGTGCACTGGGGAGTGGGAGCTGTTTGCGGTGGAGCTCCGCAGCCACAAGTCCAGCACGCCGAGGCGACACCGCCCTGCACTGTGCCGCTGGTATGGGCCATGAGGGGATCGTCGAGATGCTTCTCCGAAAGCGTGCTTCCACAGACATTCACAACAAAGAAGGCCCCGGCCTGAGGGTGGCACGTTTGTGTGTGTGGGTTGTTTTTTTTAGTCACTTGCACTTCTCTTTGTCAAATTCTTGACAGATCCCATATTTCAACAACGTTCTTGTTTGGGGTTACATTGTGCTCGTTCGAAACCCTTTGTCATTTTCCGAGTTTGATGGAGTCAGAACCAACCCTATTGCATTCCATGACCCATGTTTGTATTTAATTGCTCTTGATACGAGTTTGACAAAGGGATTTGCATGAGATTTGGCTAGGCGTTATTCTGTTTCGATTCAATAATTCCAGAAACCCGTGAATGCGGAAAGCCATTCCCTTTTCCAATAAACTTGCCCTTATTATTGCCAAATTATGTCAACTCATGGTTTAGACATGCTGAAGTTTTATGTTGGGGGGTGGGCAAGAGCGAGCCGGGTTTGATTAATAAGGCAGCCAACGACGGTAGCACTATAGCTCTTCAATAGTGTGTGAAAGAGTTTTGGAAACATTTCAAGGCACATGAAAGTGACGGCTGCCTGGCCCTGTTGTTCCTTTGGAAGAGTATACCGTTGTAGGTTGCTGGAAGCTGGAGTCGAAGAGGCTTCGACGAAGGCTTTATCAAAGTCAACTGGCCATCACAGTCAGAACATGTCAAAACCAACACGCTGACGTTGCGTGACCCAAACCAATTCGTTGACAAGACCAAGAGGTCCCCAAACAAGTCAGCCTGATTTTTGAACGATGTAGACATTGATTGGAGACGCATCCGCAAAATGTTCACAGATTCAAAGATCGCTGCAGTGGTAGATTTGATAAGCCGTCCTGGGGAGGTGTCCTTTCATGTTTCATCAGAGCTACAGCGGTGTGCTTAGGCAAGAAACCATCGGACATGGCCCGTGAGAATGGTCATGAACGAACGGTGAGCCTGCTCACTGCCGTTTCTTGGGAGGAGAGGACTGCTTGCCTGTCTACAGATGCCGTGTCTCACTTGTTTAGGACGTAACAATTCATGATATTCATGGAACAAAGTCGTATTCGGAAACTGCGCTGTATTCAGAAACTAGTCTTCAGAAACTATTTCGTTGTATTCAGAACTATGTTCTTGTATTCAGAAACTATGTTCCTCGTATTCTGCAAAATGTTTGGGGGCGGGGTGGGGGGGCAATAAACATAGGTGGGTAGTTGCGTGAAAAGTTGATCTCAGTGAATAGTGTTGGTGTTGCTCTTCGTAGTTTCCGATCATTAGTTTCCGAATACAACCGACAAGTGTCCGAATACAAGTTTCCGAATACAACCGCCCCGTTTCCGAATAAACCCTCCAGTTTCCGAATACAACCGTTTAGTTTCCAAACACAACCGTGACCATGGTTCATGTACTTTCTTCATTCTTCAGCCTGAAAGGCTGAGAAGGCATTGCTTGAACAAGCCCTGGACGAAGAAAGACAAGAGGCTGCACCAGTTGTTTGGTGTTGCTGTTTGTGCGGACATGGATGTAGGTTGAAGAGAAGCACAGTTTCCATGTCGAATTTATCACTTGGGGTTCCAATTTGTGTGCAAAGGTGCAGAAGTTGCAGGCGCGCGTGCCAGTGGGTGGCAATCATCATGACCCAGAGGACAAATTGAGCTTAGTATTGAGTTTTTCTTTGCCGGGGACACATGCAGTGTTTCCGTTCTTGGAATGGTGTCCTCATGTGATGTCCTGCTTCACCGTCTTCTTTGCACGTGTTTTATGCATTTGTCTACCTTTACTTTGTTTTTTGCCCAAGGCCGAAAAGCAATCGCTGGAGCACGCCTTGGATGAAGCACAGAAGCAGGTCGCGCCTGTTGTTGGAGATCGCTGGGCATGCGCTGATCCGTATCTTATCCAGTTCTTTCTTCAAAATCCAAACCAAGCCTGAATATTGAAATCAACCGCTGTCATACTCCGTTGTTCACAACCACCACTGCTTTGTAAACAGAGTGTCTCATGCGAAGGCGCGAGACAAAGCAGCGCTAGCCTCCAAATCCGAGGCACGAATCGGCTTTTCTTATGTACCTGTTTTCTGGGTGCTGGCGATAGATGGACTGTTAGATTTCCAGTCTAGGGCGTGTGTAAGCTTGCCATGCTGGCAAGGAGCAACTCAATGGCATCCTGAACTTAGCAAGGAAGAAAGGACAAGAAATTGCCCAATTAGAGACTAAAGCTTTCCTGAAACTCAAAGGAACAGGTCAAGAATGCGAGAGTTCTTCAGGGAAGCTTCCCTCCGCCCTCGGGTGCGCGGATTTACGGCACACTCAACTGAGGTCCGAGGTAGGTAAAGATAACTCGTGCCTCACTTGTTTAGGACGTGAGAAGGCATTGCTTGAACAAGCCCTGGACGAAGAAAGACAAGAGGCTGCACCAGTTGTTTGGTGTTGCTGTTTGTGCGGACATGGATGTAGGTTGAAGAGAAGCACAGTTTCCATGTCGAATTTATCACTTGGGGTTGCAATTTGTGTGCAAAGGTGCAGAAGTTGCAGGCGCGCGTGCCAGTGGGTGGCAATCATCATGACCCAGAGGACAAATTGAGCTTAGTATTGAGTTTTTCTTTGCCGGGGACACATGCAGTGTTTCCGTTCTTCTTGGAATGGTGTCCTCATGTGATGTCCTGTCTCACCGTCTTCTTGCAAGTGTTTTAGGTTACTGTGTTTTTTGCTCAAGGCTGAAAAGCAATCGCTGGAGCACGCCTTGGATGAAGCACAGAAGCAGGTTGCGCCTGTTGTTGGAGATCGCTGGGCATGCGCTGATCCGTAGCTTTACCCAATTAAGCAGCGGCCAAAACTTCCCAATGTGACACTTTTAAGAGAAGTTAACATGATATAGTGCCTTTCGCGAAAGCTAGAACGCTTTTCACCGACGCTTTCTTTTTCAATGCACGGAAAACAGCGGAGCATCGTCGTCGTGCTTGGCTTTTCAAGGCGCATCGTCGTTGGCTTCGCAACGATGTTCGACGGAAATCCCAATCGGCATTTCGGTCCTTCCCCGAACACCGCGGTTTTAACAGGTTGGTGAGAAAACGTAAGGCCAGCTCTCGGGTGCTTGAGTTTTTCGCTCAAGTGCTGAAGAAAGCAGTTGGTGGCCAGAGTCTGGCCAACTCTGAGACAAGTCGGACAAAAAGCGTTGTCCGATGACACAGCTTCCAGGTGCCGCTGTTGCCTACCATGACCGACCAGTCGCAACAACGTCACGCCTCCGCCAATGCCCGAGGGTTTCGCAACAACTTCACGCCATGCCTTTTGAAGAAAGTTTGCCAGGCTTGCAGCAAAGGAACCCATTCACCATAAGGCATGACTTCTCAACCAAGGATCTCGCAGAGCAATGGGCGGAGGCTTATATATAGATATATACATATGTTTCTATTTGTTTTTTTGGGTTGCCAATGCAAGTTTGCACAAGCTCATTGGAATTCTTCGATTTGTGTCTAGTCTTTTGCGATTTGATTGCAAAGATCATGATCGACCGCAGGTCGAGCACGCAAGATTTGACTTGGAACAGCGAGAGAGGCCTGAGTTGAGGAAGCACCCCATCCGAGCGATGAGCAGTTTGTCATGGCGTGTCCCATTACCAGCAAGAGGCGGCAAAAGATTTTACTATTTTGTGAAAGGCCTTTGCTAACGATCATCCACCCTTACAAGATGTGGTTCATGTTCTTCTGTGGATTGGTTCAGTTCTAAGCTCCACGAGCGAAAGTGAACCACAAGAGCCAACGGGCACACCAGTCGGGAGAACAACGCAGGGACTTGGCATTTCGGGATTTTGCGCTGCGACGTTCAGAGGCCAGGTGGAGCATTTGTGTGTGTGTGCGCAGACAGGGTTCTCACATGAATTGAACAAAGTGCTCAATTTGGCGTTGTGATGGTAGAATGAATCATGTATCTATCCTGTACTTCCTTTGCCTCTCTCACGGATCCGTTGTGATTGGGTTTGGCAGCCTGTCTCCTCTACCGCAGGTCAGACATCGTGAATCTGAACGCAGGCAAAGTGCGATGAGGCGCCGCAACATGGGCAGCAGCAGCCTGCAAGTTGACGGGTGGCAATGGCATGTCCATGAGATACTGAATGTAGATTTGCTGTGGTTTCAGATGGCACTAGCACCCCAATATGTCTTAGACAGATGGGGGTCTAACTTGTGGTCTCTACTCTCAATCCACTATAACGTGACATATGGGGATGGGTCGTTCAACCTGGAGCCTGACCAGTCTACCATGTAGCGAACGACCGACACGTCGGTAGGTCAACCCGTCGGTCTCCTGGTGCCATGACCCACAGCCATATGTTAACGTCCCATAAACTGAACCGCCCTAGACTGTGCCACGCCAAAGGCGTCGCTTGGAAGACTTCCGCGTGGAGCTAGAGGAAGCCATGGCAGACGTGGCCGTGCGATTCTTACGAGAACTCAAAAAGGTGTTCGATCCATTTAGGATGGTTTAGATGCCGTTTCAACTGCAAAGAGGATGGAAAAAAATCCTTTGCAGTCCACCAAAAACAACTGCAACCATCACCCAAATCACTGCCCTGAGGCACACGAAGAGTTCCTGCGGAAGCAGCGCCGCCGCACGGCCGAAGCGCATGCAACCTGGATCAAGATTTGATGCCTGTCACAAGAGCAGAAGGGATGCCTAATGCCTAGGATATGCCAATGTTCATAGGCCTTAGTTGGAAGGGAAGGAAGAGCGGCAAAGGCACATCATTGGCAGTTCAGATAACATTCAATGCATGTTCCAATTGAGGAAAGCAGAAGTGCTTTTCGTCCCCAGGGTTGTGGGCGTCCAGGCTCATGCGAGGCAAATGCTGGATGCCGCTCGCAGGATGAGTGCTCCATTCTTGTTTCCAAGTGTTTTATGCAGAGATTTGGATCTAAATCTTGAACCCTGTGGCATCATGCTGTCTATCATTCAGGTACAGAGGTTACAGGCCGTGCTTTGCCAAGCTGTTCAGAAGCCGACTCCAATGTGTTACCTTGTCAGTTGTCCAGTTGGCTCAGCCTGCATTGATCTTACATTTTGCGATGTTTTCTGAGGATTGATCACTACTGGTTCTTGGTGTCCATGCCCATAAGTCATGCGAAGCAGACGAGCCATCAGCCATAAGCCATAGATTATTGGGCACACTCTAAGAGCATCGGCCATGACCAGTCCTAGGCGTCCCAGGCCTAGCCATCCGTCGGCCATCCGTCCCATCGCGGACTGCAGACAGGTGGCCTATCGCACTCGGTGCGATCACGATCAGCGAGGTCAGCGCATCGATGAGAGCTTTGACCTTAGATCACCAGGTGCTGCGACGTAGTTGGCATGAGAAAATGGAACGACGGGAGATTCGCTATGGGCCAAGAAGCCATTCTCACATGTTCAATCCAAGTAGCAGATTCATTCTGGCTTGCGGTGGAGATGGTGTTGTTCCGAGTTGATTGCTTGGGGATGTTGGTTGAGGTTAGGGCATTCTGCTGGTAAGCTGCTTTGAAGATCTACTGTTCTTTGTTGCCTTCCAAAGCCGAGGTCTTACATGTATCAGATCCTCGGCTTTGGGCAGTAACGCACTTTCTTCCGAGAAAAAGACAAGATAATGTTGAAGAAGTCGCAATGGCAAGCTAGCAAGGCAAGTCCTAGAACAAAGCAGGTGCGAGCAATTATGATCAATTAAACAATCTTAGACACTTCCAAAATCTCAAGGGGCCCACTTGTGAATCGTCGTTCAGCTCATGGAGCGTCAATCAAAACACTTTCAGAGCTCAAGCAGAGGCGGAAGCTCTAGAAGATCTAGACATTAATTAGTAGACTATACTGCCCGATGCCCATATTCCGGAGCACGAACTGTTTTACTTACCACCGGAGGAACTGTTGAGAATCCCTGATTCCATGTATAGTCATCCATCGTTTGATTGAATTGACATAGTATGTATATATGCGTAAATTTGGATGAACAATTAGTATCAGCTTTGAGTTGGCCAAACAGTTGGAAGAAGCTGACTCCACCTCGACTAAGATTCACCTGACATCAATCGAGGCCTTTGATTGATGATTACGCTTGGCTATAGCATTTACACATATGCTAATAGGCAGTGGCCAGAAAAGTTTCAGTCTCCAAGATTCTGAAAGCTCCAGTCACTCCGATATGACACTCAAAGGCCTCGGGCAGTCAAGCAGGTGGCACCCAGCCTGCGCCATAAGTGTGCCACCTCGCAGGAAAAGTGGAGCAGCTTTTTCACAAAAGCGGTGATATATTGATATAGTGTTCCTTTGTTCTATGGCACTCCTGGTGCTTTCAAGCAAGATCAGTTTTTCCCATCAGACAGCATGGTGGCGTAAAGTGCTGTACTTGCATGTTTTTGTGTCACCTTAGCTTGTGATGCGTTGCCGTCTTGGCCTGACCTCTAGACTCATGCTTCGCACTCATCAAGGCGCGAAGGTGACGAAGCCACCATAAAAAAATGAGCCGCAGGAGTCCCATTGTGGACCGTGGATGCTCTTGGCTCAAGGCGGAACACTTTGGCTTCGTGCCCCCCAGGTCGGCGGCTCGCCGAGTGGATTTGCCAGGGGAGTTGAGTTCTTCACACAAGACACACGTGATACATGTGTAACAACTTGTGTGATTTGTGTGTTCCTGCGTGGCACTAGCAGTGTGATCATCCCCGCCGGAGGTGAGCGATGCCCTCCGTTGAGACTTGGAGGATTGTGGGACCTTCGTTCAGAATAAAAAATCTTGAACACAAGTTCAATGGCAGGGTGGCCGCTAGAAGTCAAATGTAGATAACCCCAATTTTTAAGAAGATTATGAAGCACGGTCATCCTGCCTCTTGGAGCTAGACGTTTCGCCACCCTAAACAAATTGATGCAGGTACACAAGGCGACAGCGGGTTTCGTCAAGTGATCGAACTGAGTCGTTGGCTAGCTTGTTGTGGAAAGTTGTACCAAGTGGAAGACTCCATCCATTCCCACAACCCTAGCTAGCTTGATAATCAGTCCAAAAGAACTCCAGCAGCCAGCTTTGAGGGTTGCTCCCAGTTGTCGGAATGCATATTTCCAAAGTTGTAGGTTGTAGACCCAGATGCGCAGGATTTACGTGTGTAATTTGCCAAGCTTGACACTATGCGAGCAATCAAGCTCCCTTTTGTGCTTTTGAGCAGAATATGATTCCAACTGCGAGTAGCACGGCAGTCATATGTAAGCACAACATGTGCCAGTACAGTTTCCACTTTGTACATGAAACGCTCATACTTTGGCTCAAGTGACAAGAAAAGGCGCTTGTCTACATGGGTCGACCATGAGTTGAGCTGAAAGACTAGCTGGACTTCAAAGAAAGGCATCCTACCTAGACCGAAAGGTCTCGACGGCTAACTTTCTGAGATGTAGGGCACAGACGAGATGAGGGGCAAAACCTATTCATTCGCTGCTGCACCAGGTGCCACTTCAAAGCCGACACCTGATTCAAACATGAACGCTAGTACCGGATCCCAAGGAGAAACGGTCATTGCTATGCCTACAGGTTCACTGGCGTTTGGAAGATGTATCTATGCCCTCGAGATTGACGAGACCTTTGCAGAGAATTGCATCAGCGAGAACTGTGTTGGCTACTAACAGAGGAGATGTGAGAAAAACAAAGAAAAGCATAAGAAACCGCCACGGCATCCACGGATCCACCTCAACTACTCGAAGAACTGAGATCTACGAGATTGCTCTATGACATGACTCGTGATGAATATCATGCTACAAGAACGAATTCCGATGAACTCAGGTCCGATACAGACAGACAGATGCATCAGATGTGCGACTACAGCAACCATCTGGGATCGTCACTGAACTGTAGCAAGAAGATGAAGGATCAACCTATCGTATTGAAGAGCTTGAGAGAAGACTCCTCATCACTCAAGAAGGAGCCACTCAAAAGGCCAATCAATACCAATATCTTCGGCAGCATGACAACTTGGAATCTGAAGAAGCTGTACAACTGACGAGAAGAATGATCGAAATGAATGTACGCGGTTCAAGTGCCCATGAGAATCGTGAAATCTCTAGACATTTCAGTGCAAGAGCTGGAGGACTCATGGCAAAGAATTCCGAATCGATATTACTGCTGATATCAAAGGTATCGTCAAGTTCAAAACTTGCAGATTGAGAATCAACAGATCGTGGCTGTGTCTCGGAGAGAACGAGCGGAGCAAGTTGAAGAAGAGAGAGCAATCATGGAACACAACTTCCAAGTCGCGCATGGACGTTCCATGAATGATGAAATGGCTGCAACCAACTATCTTCAAGAACAAAACAAGATTTTGACCTTGAATGAACTTCCATAGACCGTGCACTAAGAGCTTTGAAGCGCGTGAAAACTGGCGATCTTTGTGCTCCCACCGTCGAACAAGTCCACGCAGGGACCCTTTACTAAGCTTGTTGGCCTTTGCCTGGTCGCTTTACGCCAACTTTCAGCTGACCTTCAGAGAGAGGGCACTCATGTCAGACTTTGACGCGTGAGTTTTTGAGGAAGTCTCGTACGACACGCTCGTTTTGGAGACTTGACGCGCAACCCTCAGCGGAGATCGTGCGTGTCGAGTGCGCGAAATGCAGATCGCGCGTGTCGAGTGCGCGAAACGCAGGCGAGAGTGCGATTTGTCCGGTGCCCGCACCACCCTCTGCGGAGATCGTGCGTGTCGAGCGCTCGAAATGCAGGCGAGCACTGGTGACTTTGGTTCTGGGGAGCTGGAAGCTGAGCACTGGCGACTTTTTAGTCCAACTTTAGTACGCGGAGCAATCTGGGGAGCTGGAAGCTGAGAACTGGCGACCTTGCAGTACAACTTTAGTACGCGGAGTATGTGGGGGGCTGGAAGAGTGTCCCACAAGAGTGTCCCGCAACAGTGTCCTACAAGACTGTCCCACACGAGTGTCCTACAAGAGTCTCCCACAAGAGTGTCCCACAAGAGTGTCCTACAAGAGTGTCCCACAAGAGTGTCCCCCACAAGACCGTCCCACAAGAGTGTCCTACAAGAGTGTCCTACAAGAGTGTCCCACAAGAGTGTCCCACAAGAGTGTCCCACAAGAGTGTCCTACAAGACTGTCCCACAAGAGTGTCCTACAAGAGTGTCCCACAAGACTGTCCCACAAGAGTGTCCCACAAGAGTTTCCTACAAGAGTGGCGCACAAGAGTGTCCTCCAAGAGTGTCCTACAAGAGTGCCCCACAAGAGTGTCCCACAAGAGTGTCCTATAAGAGTGTCCCACAAGAGTGCCCCACAAGAGTGTCCCACAAGAGTTTCCTACAAGAGTGCCACGCAAGGGTGTCCCACAAGAGTGTCCTACAAGAGTGTCCTACAAGAGTGCCCCACAAGAGTGTCCCACAAGACTGTCCCACAAGAGTGTCCCCTACAAGATGTCCGACAAGAGTGTCCTACAGAGCGCCCCACAAGAGTGTCCCACAAGAGTGTCCCGCAACAGCGTCGCTCAAGACTGTCTCACAAGAGTGTCCCACAAGAGTGTCTCACAAGAGTGTCCTACAAGAGTGTCCCACAAGAGTGTCCCACAAGAGTGTCCTATAAGAGTGTCCCACAAGAGTGTCCTACAAGAGTGTCCCACAAGAGTTTCCTGCAAGAGTGACCCACAAGAGTGTCCGACAAGAGTGTCCTACAAGAGTGTCGCAGAAGAGTGTCCCACAAGAGTGTTCTACAAGAGTTTCCTACAAGAGCGACCTACAAGAGTGTCCCACAAGAGTGTCCTACCAGAGTGTCCCACAAGAGTGTCCCACAAGAGTGTCCCACAAGAGTGTCCTACAAGAGTGCCCCACAAGAGTTTCCCACAAGAGAGTCCTACAAGAGTGTTATTTGGACATATGTAGTTTTTCGAACGTGTTTGCATTCGGATTCCATCTTGTTAATTTAACTGTGGCAATTAAATTCGCATTCTTCATTGATTCGGGCAATGTTCGATATGGAAGAATCCGCGAGCAATTTGATGCTTTGATTCTTTTAGGATGGGCACCAATGGTCATTTGGTGAAACAGGACACGTACATTGATCTTATGGTATTGGCGTAAACTGAAGGCAAAAAAATTCCTTCTAATCTTGTGGATGGAGGTGTTCAAAGGGTAGCCTATCGTTTTATTGGTTACGAGTCGTGGGCGAAGGAATTGATTTAAGTTTCTTTCTTCCGGAAGATGGTAGACAGTTTCGTGTTTCGAAGGAGACTAGTATAGTAAAGTGAATATTCTTGTTCAAAATTCTAGGACGTTGTATATATATATATATTATATTTGTATGTATACGTTTTTTTGCGTTTTTATTGAATAATTCGAGATCGCTGATGGTTAGTCTGATTGTTAATTCTTAGCTTCTAGGCGTGGTCTGATAATTGGCGGATTGTTATTCGAAGAGGTTGAGCACTTGCATGATTTTGATGTGTAATTGAGTGCAACGATGGTTGGTTATACATTAATTTAATGTCCTGTTTCTATGGTTGCCAGTCGCTAATATATATTTTAATTGAGGTACGAATTTTAATTCATTCTTTTTGATTATTGAATAATATATATATATATAATAGTTTTTTTTGAATTTAATAGTTAATAGTTTTTGCCT